GCCGGGGCGCCGGGGGTGGCACGCTGGGGGGTGGCACGGGAGTGGCCGCCAGGCCAGGGCGCCGGGGGTGGCTCGGCTGGGCACAGCCATGCTGGCAGCTTCTTGCCTCCGGAGCACCTTCAGGCGGAGCGGCGTCGGCCGGCCGGTGCTCCCGGCTCCCGGGACACCCTGCCGGGCGCGTGGTGACCCTGGGCTGCCTCAAACAAGCCGGCAGGGCCCTGGGCCAGGGCCTGGGAGGCCATCCCTCTGGACAGACAGCTGCGTCTCAGCCCCTGTGTGACTGGGTGTCCCCTCTGCCTGAGGGCGGTGAAGGGCAAGGGGAACCTATGCCTGGGGCCTCAGAGCCCCCCCAGAAGCTGAACGACCACCCCTCCCCCCCAGGAGCTAGGCTGACCACCTCTCCAGTTGGCAGCCCCAGGCCAGGCTTGTGGTCCCGCTGGCTCTGGCCTATTTCCCACTGGTACCCTCTGGCCTTGCCCCGCCCTGGGTGTGGGCCAGGAGGCCCCTCCCACAGGCGGGAGTCTGTCCACCCTCCCAGATTTGCCCCCAGTGGCCAGGGCACAGCAACCTCAGCCCCTCAGTGCCCACTCTGCCTGACCCCAGAGTTAGTGTGGGGCCCGCTTGCGGAGGGTTTTCTGTGTCCCAGTATGCGTGTGGGCACAGCCCTTCCCCCCAGGCCCTGGACCCTGGCATATCCCAGGCCCTGCCCCAGGCGCCAGCAGGGCCTTGTGCACAAACAGGCCGTGTCTGTCACCCGGCCGGCCCACAAGTACCACCGTGCCGCCTGGTGCTGAGCGGGACAGCGGCTGTGGGGGTGGGAGGTCTGGGGTCCGCGAAGGAGCAGGGGACCCCGAGGGGGAAAGGACCGCGGCATCCCTGAGGAAGGACCTAGAGCCCTCGGCCACTGCAGACGGCCTGGGGCCTGCGGCAAGGCCGCTCTGGGTGCCGCTGGCCGAGCTAGACAGCAGGGCCCGCGTGCCCCGCGCTGGCCAGGCGTGGAAGCCAAGCCGCCGAGCGGTGGGTGCAGGCCGGAGTGCGGGCCTGCCCGGGAAGAGGCTGCGCGTGGGGGGCTGTGCCCTGCGGGGTGCTCTCGGGGGCTGCAGCCCAGGGCGACCCCGAGCTCTGCTGCCCCCAGGACTTCCCGGGCCCAGAGAGCCAGCAGGAAAACCTCGAGCAGCCGTTCCTGAGTGTGTTCAAGAAGGGCAGGCGGAGGGTGCCGGTCAGGAACCTGGGCAAGGTCGTGTACTATGCCAAGGTCCAGCTGCGGTTCCAGCACAGCCAGGTGGGCACCAGGCCGGGCGGGCCCCGGGGACAGCCGGGCCCCGGGGCTCAGACCCAGGCCTCTCTGCAGGACGTCAGCGACTGCTACCTGGAGCTGTTCCCCGCCCACCTCTACTTCCAGGCTCACGGCGCAGAAGGCCTCACTTTCCAGGTGCGGGCAGCAGGGGGGGGGCGCGGGGGGGGGCAGGCTCAGGAGGCCCGTCTGCCCGCGCAGGGGCTGCTGCCGCTGGTGGAGCTGAGCGTCTGCCCGCTGGAGGGGCCCGGAGAGCACTGCTTCCAGATCTCAGGTGGGCGCGCCCTGGCCGAGCGGCCGCGGGGACCGGGCGTTGGCAGGGTCCCTGCCCGCGACGCAGCCTCTCTGTC